ACAGGGCTGCCTGATGTCCCACCCCAGCCCCTGAGTCGCTGATGCAAGCACTGGAGGACCTGGACTACCTGGCGGCCCTGGATGATGACGGGAACCTGTCGGAGGTGGGTATCATCATGTCGGAGTTCCCGCTGGACCCACAGTTGGCCAAGGCCCTCATCGCCTCCTGTGAGTTCGACTGTGTGGAGGAGATGGTCAGTCTGGCTGCCATGCTCACAGGTACTGTACTGGGGTGCAAGGGGCAGGCCCTGGGAGTCAGCACTGCAGAGGGGTGCTGGGGGCACGCAGTGACTCTCCTGCCCCCCCAGCGTCCCCCTGCTTTGTGTCACCGTCCACGCACCTGGAGGAAGCTGTGGCCCTGCGCCAGCGGGCACTGCTGCACCCCAATGGGGACCACTTCACCCTCATCAACATCTTCAACGCCTTCCAGCAGCGTGAGCACGGGCAAGGGTGGGAGGCTGCACCCCTGTGGGCATCCCATGGCCCTCCTGTATGTCCCCTGCATGCATCCCACAGAGCCCCATGTGTCCCCTGCACCCCTGTGGGCATCCCACAGACTCCTCAGTGTCCCTTGATCCTTGGGACATCCCACAGCCTCCCTGTGTGTCCCCTGCTCTTTCAGGTGTCCCACACCCCCTCGTGTGTTCCCTGCTTCTTGGGGTGCCCCACAGTCTCTTCAGTGTCCCCTGCACTGCAGCTGACCCCATCCTGGTGCCCAGCCTGGCTGCCGGGAGATCCAGGCTGTGCCCTCCATGCAGTCCCTGTCCCCACTATGTGGTGGATAGGACACAGCTGGTGGGAGCAGCAGTGCTGGCTTCTGTGGCTCCTGAGTCCCCAGCCCAGCGGGGTCTTTGGTCACCCATCCCCATGTCACTGACCCCACTGTCCCATCACTGTATCAGTGACCCTGCTTGTCTCATCCTCATCCCCATGTTGCTGACTCCACTATCCCCTTCGCACCCCACACAACAGACGCTGTCCCACACCTGTCCCCACACCATTGACCCCACTGCCCCATCCTTGTCCCCATGTCACTGATCCCTCTGTCCCATCCCTATCCCCACAACAATGATCCTTCTGTCCCATCTCCATCCCCATATCACTGATCTTGCTGTCTCCCCTGTCCCCACCTCACTGTCCCTGCTGTACTGTCCCCATCCCCATGTTGCTGACCCCACTCACACTCTGTCCCCATACTGCTGACCCACTGTCCCACAGATGCAGGGGACGAGGGCTGGTGCCGGAAGCACGGGGTGGACGCGGAGGCACTGCGGCTGGCGGGCACCGTGCGGGCAGAGCTGCTGGACGCACCGCGCTGCCGGTCTCGCCACCTGCCTTCGGCTCCGATGCCAACGCCCTCAACATCCAGCGGGCACTCATCTCTGGGTACTTCCTCAAGGTGAGCCCAGTGGGGTGAGGGGGGCTGTAAAAAAAAAAGCGGGGGGTGTGCCAGCCACCCCATTCCCTCCCACTCTGCTCCCCAGGTTGCCCGTGACATCGATGGCTCTGGGAACTACGTGATGCTGACGCACAAGCATGTGGCCCACCTGCCCCCCGCCTGCGGGTACCTGCTGCGGCCACCTCCCCGCCTCTACCACGAGTTCGCCATCTCCCAGGACAACTGCTTGCGCGTGGTCTCGGAGATCCAACCCCAAATGTGAGGGCTCGGGGACAGGGAGGGCTGGGTCCCT